AGGGTGCCCTGTGATAAGATCTTCCAAAAATAACATAAATGAAACATAAATCTACTAATTAACCTAATGTGAGACTTTGAAGGACAATTGTTGCATATATACAATAATCAAAACTTACAAATTAATGGACCATATTTTTAACTCCTCTGTCATCAATAACACTTTCAAAGCACATTTAGGGTATAGAGGAGACATTTGACTCAGATTCAGCAATCTGCATTTAGTGTTAAACACTTGATCACACTAAATAAAAACTCAACATAATTAAACTAGAAAAATACATACTAGTTCTTGCTCCAAATGAACATATCCCTTTGCTAATTGTCTATATTCATCGAACATTCTTTTTCCCTTTTTAGTATTAGCCTCACTTTATTTCTATATTGTATTTAAAAAAAAACAAACCAAATTGTTAGCAAGTGACAACATTGATAAATTAAAAAAACTAAAACAAATTATCTTAAAATCTTCCTTAGAGCTTTGCTTAACAAACTTGATCCAATTATTAGTTACAGTAATGAAGCACTGATACTTCTGTGGAGGATGAGAGACATGATTTTCATCTTTTTCTTTGATATGTTTCCTTATGCGTGTACGAAATGCAAAAAGATCTCATCCTACTAATGCAGCAAGAATTTCTTTAAGTATCTCTTGCACCTCAACTTTGCTGCGTTGGATAAAAAGCATATATCAGAGAGTTAAATCATAATATAAATTTACTAAAATTTAATATTTTTACCTTAACTTGCTCTTCAAAATAACTAATAAGCATTGTACTCCTGGTAACAAACCTAACAAATAAAGTAATGGGAAGTGTGTTCATAGTATAAACATAAAAGCATTAAGCAATGTGTATATTACTACTATTATTTGTCCTAATTTCCTTGATTTGCTAATAGTCTTCATTTTTGTTGTTTCTCAAGTGTTGTTCTCTTGAGACTTAGAAGAAGAACTTACTTCCATGTTATCTAAAGTTATCTCTAAAAGTAATAAATTTGCATTATAACAATTTCATAAGGCATAATAATGTGTATTGTCATGTTTTTCATCAAACAATAAAACATACAACAAACTTATAAAAGACCAACAAATTGCCTAAGACTTGTTATGATACGAATTCAGTTGTCATTCTATCGTATCCTAACTTAAAAAATCAAACCATATTTATTCATACTAATAGAAAAGAATATAAAAAATACATATTCATTTTCAATTAAGTCCTCTAAATCATAAATCATTCTTAAACAAGATAAAAAAATCAGTACCAACTTATTTCTTCAAACTTCCCTCAAACTAATCATCATTTACTCCCCATATTAGGAACTCTAAGTTGTTCTACACTCCTAAAAACACACCTCCTAAAGATTATCACCTAAGTTAAACCAATGAATGTATTATTTAGTTAGTATAGACCTATAATATCTATATATATTAGCATAATAATTTATAATTTTTTAAGAGCCATTTTAATTTTTCTTTGACAAATGTTACATTAAAAAATCATTTTAAAGCTGTTAAAATATAAAATTTCTTTTGTAATATATTTTTCTCTTAAATTTATTTTTACTATGATTTCGTAAGTTAGTTTAGTGATTACAAGGATTATGGAATACTTGGCAAATAAAATGTGAGTATTGTTTTGACATTGTTATTTAGTTAGTAAAGATCTAAGAGTTGGAAGAACAACAAAACAAATAAAATGTGAGTACCTAACATCAAATTTATTCATAACACACAAAACAATTTCATATTAAAGAGGGCAGACACATATAGTAGAAGAACAATAAAAACACCAAAAAAAAATATTACCTAATTTATTACCTAAATTCCACTCAAATGCAGATTTTAGGATAATCACATTATGTGAAAATCAATCTGCTAACCTAAAGTTCAAAAAGTCCTAAAATAGAAAAAAAATATACTTAAATAAAAAAATCAAACAAATTTAAATGCTACTGACATGACATGACAGAACAAGATGCACTGAAACAGGATGACATTATTATTGATGTTAATGGCAAGAAGAGCCACTAAGAGAATATTGTAAAAAGTGACGCATGACAAGAAGGAGCACAAGAAGACAACATAGAACAACTGAGAAGAGAGAGTTTCCACAAGAACAGGGAAGAAGAGGTTAAGACTTAATTTAAAATTAAAGTTTGGACAGTGGTTAGGAAATAACCACTCTTCAATCTCTACTACAGAAAGTACACGTATCAACCACGCTCTTAAACTAGATTGGTTGTAGGTGGCCTAACAAGATTAGACATGTGTGAATATGTGGATAGTTCAACATTGAAACTAAATGGACTCTTATATCATATTAGAAAAATATTTTATGTACAATGTCAATCTTGAATAGTCCATAAAACATGTTAAGTGAAAAATTATAAGCTTGTAATTAACGTACAAATGTGCATAAAAGTGAGCAACATAATTTCTATAAATTATTTTATTCCACAAAGTCTTAAATCAAATAAGAGTTGAAAATAATGGTAATTTATAAACACACATCTTTTCTAACCTACTTAGTTAGATGCTTTTAAGAAAAAAATTATGAGGTCCATCATTGTCAAAACCCTAAACCTAATTAAGCCAACGATTCTCGCACTAAATGTATAAGCATAACAGGTTTATTAAAAATTGGCGAAATAAAAAAAAAATCTTGTTTACTAAAGTAAAAAACTTACAAACAAGGTTGACATGAACCTACTCGATAAAATATAGGGCATAAATTTAAAAAATTTAGCCTAAATTAAATATTTTTATTTAACCTAATATGATCAAATCCAATGTTACTTTATGTATTAAATTTTTAATTGTTTTCAGCATATTTTTTAGAGAACAAATTAAATATTAACTTTTTGTACATGACCCAAAGCTATTGCATGCCACAAGCCAACCCAAATGATCTAGGTAGCTTGTTTTGCCCCTTTTTCGAAAAGATACAACCAAAATAAAATTATTTGAAGAAAATATTATTTATTATTCTTACTTAATTGCTTTGCTTTTGTAAAAGTTTTTTGAAAAAGATAGTATATTAAAAATACTGACTAAAAATAAAAAGAATAATTTTTGGCCATAAAATATGTTTAGATTTGGAAGTTAATGTTGTAAAATATCATTAAAGAAATTAAAATGAACACTCTATCTCCATTTTATCAACTTTTCAAATTTTCTAATTAGAAGTTTTGTAGTTTTGAAATATATATTGTTTTTTCCTAATCTTGAATTAATTACTATTAACGTACTCTGAGAAATTTATCTATTTTCATAATTAGTTTAGTTATCTACATGAGTCCATTCACATATGAACCAATACTTTAATGCCAACATTATCAAGATTGAAACTCACAAGTTAAAAAGAACAACCTACCAATTGTTTAACAAACTCCACAAGCAATGGATAAGTTTGAGCATGTAAGGAAAATAAAATTTAATTTCAGTCTAACAAATAAAAGGAAAGAAAATTATTATAAACCTCTTATCATCCAACAAAATAAATGGATAACCTTTTTTCTTATTGTGTACAGGATTCCATGATATTTTTAAGGGTATATATGGATCACTATCAATATCATTTTTACTTTCAATGAGTTGAGTCCAAAACTTGGATAATGATAATAATAAAGAAATACATAAGATTACCTAATAAGTATATTTATTTCAGGGTGAATTTGATAGAGTTATAAAGGAAAGCAAACTTCAATCATGTAGCAAACTTTAATGACTTTTCTTTTTCTCTCAAAATTTAAAAAAAAATTAAAATTTTAAATTAATTCATGAAAGATAAAAAGGTTTTTAATTGATTTTATACATATAAAAGTACTAAAATTAGTATTGACTTTCTATATTTTAGTTTTGGTAGCAGGCCAAGAGTAAGGTAAGCACCACAAATATTTTTTCTTCATCGACAAGAGATTTGAGAGGGTATTGCGATTTTTTAATAGATTTTTTTCTTCAGCGAAAGCAAGCGGAGTAAAAGGCATACATGATTTGTCATTCATTTTACTAAAATTTATTTAGTAATTCTCATGGAGATAATAAAGTTGAATGTTAAATGCAATATGATATGCTAATGCTTTTCAAACTATATTAATTAAAACTATTACACAATAAAGTGACGTAAAGAGAAAATATTTTGTTTTCATGCACATTCTTAGTAAAGTGTTATGTGAAAGGCAAAAATAAAGTGTTATTTTTAGTTATCTTATATTATAATGCTGTAAAAAATCATTAAATAAAATTAAAATAGAAAGTCTATCTACATTTTATCAACTTTTCTCATTTTCTGATGAGAAGTTTTGTAGTTTTAAAATATATATTATCTTTTCCTAATCTTGACTTAATTACTCTTCTCGTACTCTTATAAATTTATGTATTTTCAAAATTAGTTTAATTATCTTCATTATTCCATTCACATATGAACCAACTTTAATGGTAACATTGTCAAAATTGAAACTCACAAGTTAAAGTTTAAAAGAACAACTGATTAATTGTTTAACAAACGTCCCAAGCAAATTACTTTACTATAATAAAGTGACGTAAAGAGAAAATATTTTGTTTTCATGCACATTCTTAGTAAAGTGTTGTATGTAAGGCAAAAATAAAGTGTTATTTTTATTTATCTAATATTATAATGTTGTAGATATCATTAAAGAAAATTAAAATAGAAACCCTATCTACATTTTATCAACTTTTCTCATTTTCTAATGAGAAGTTTTGTAGTTTTAAAATATATATTATCTTTTCCTAATCTTGAATTAATTACTCTTCTCGTACTCTTATAAATTTATCTATTTTCAAAATTAGTTTAAATCTTCATTATTCCATTCACATATGAACCAACTTTAATACTAACATTGTCAAAATTGAAACGCAGAAGTTAAAGTTAAAAAGAAAATTACAATGCACTTACCCTTTATCATACAACAAAATGACAATTTTTAGCTATAAATTCAATCATGCTTCTTAGGGGTCATCATACACATTCGAACAAAATGATGAAGGTTATGAATCTTTTTGTGCCTATGATGACTTTATGTTTGTTGCCCTCAACATTTTCTACAACCCAAATTGTTGACATCATATGCAGCGAGGCTCTACCGTTATTTAATCCTTGTCAACCATATTTGGTGGGTTCTGCAGAAATATCAGCTTCGTGTTGTGCAGGAGTAGCCGGTATTATTCAAATGGCCGACACCACTCTAGTTCGAAGGGATTTGTGCAATTGCATTAAGAAATTTGTTTCCGATATTGGTATCAATCCTGACAACGCAAAACAACTCCCTCAACTTTGTCATATTAATCTTCCATTTGCAGCACGTAAATCCCTATCTATCGTTCTTTCTTTTTACCTTTACAAATGCATGCACATTTGTCTATAATTTATCATTATTCTTAACCTTTTTTTGCAGGATTCCATGATATTTTTACGTTTACGGATCAGCAGAAAGCTTGAACAACAATAACAACGTCGAATAAATCAATCATGTAATATAAAATAAATTAGAATCTATAAGAACCTATGTATTTCTTTACTAAATAATGCGTGGAATATATCTTCCATTGAGTTTTAGTATGCAATTTTCATTCAAACTTTATTAATTTGTCATACATTTTTAGGATTCATTCAGCAAAGCATGAATCCAACACTTGAAAAATGGAAACACATGGACCTAAGAACGTTTACAATCAGCATACTATAATTTTTACAATATTTTAAATTTAAACTTTAATTAATCTAACTATTCAATTATATTGTGCATTGAAATTAGTTTAAGGATAAAGGTTAATTAATTTTAAATTTATGCATTTTTTTTCTGTTAGTTTTATTATACTTTAGTATAACAGTTCACAATCATACTATTTTACTGTAAAAAAATCACGGGCATTAAATTATTTGCAAGCATTTTGATAGCCTATACATATAGTATGTATATGAATTTGGCAATGCACAAAATGGTTAATCCCATCAAATGTGATACAAATAAAAACCAGTACAATTTTGTCTGTTTAAAATTCGATTTCAATGAGATTAAGTACCAAAGTATCCAAGAAATTGTTATACGATCATAAGAGAGCACAAAATAATATATGATATAATCTTTGAATCGTGTTAAGCACATAGGAAGCATATTTTTCCAATCATCTAATTGCAACTGAACAAGGCATTGCTAATCATCTGGTGAAAAATTTTAGATCTTATGTTCCAGATGCTACAAAAGATGAAGAGATAAACTAAATTGAGTTGAAACAAAATATAGCAAGGAATGATTTCTTTAAGTTTGACCATGTAGCTAGGGTGATAAAATTTTATTGATTTTTCATTTAGAAAGAACTCTATTTAATGGAATAAGTTCTAAATATCATATAACTTTTTAAAAATTATTTTAACTATTACGATATGATTCTTCCATTAAATCAATGGTGAAGTAATATTGTTGGAGACTTTTATCTTTGTTATCACTTTTTTTTTTCTTATGGTTAGTTATATGACATTTACGCTGGTTTTACAAAATTCTATTCTTAATAACCTTAGCAGAGACTTGAAAAATGCATTGGTTTATTTAGTTGTAATTTTTTCTTGATTTCAATAAGTGATGGGCGTAAATTGATTATATTTAAAGTTAGTGCATTTCTCACGTCCATTTATTTATGAAGAAAACATGAATATTTTTATACTTATGTAAAAGACTTTAATGAATTCTATTTTCTCTTAAAACAAAAACAAATTAAAATTTTAAATTAGTTCTCAAATATAGGAAGTGTTTTTTTAACTTGGTTTAATATAAAATAAAAAAATAAAATATGTTCCTAAATACGTAATTTTAATTCTTTTGTTAGAATTTTTTTATTAATTATCAAAAAATGATAAAGTTGTATGTTAAATGCAACATGGTACTGTGTCTCAAACTATATCAATCAAGAATATTGCACAATAAAATGAATAAAAGAAATAATATTGTATTTTTGTGTACATTGTTGATGATTCTTTATTTTTACATATTATATTTAGAAACTAATTTTAATATTTTTTTAAGGGACTAAATTAAAAAAAAAAAACTTTTTATCTTTCAAAGCTTTAATTTGATAATTTTTGCAAAAAAAAAAAAGGTTTTCATTAATATTTTTGTTTTAATACACTTTATTATGTGAAGGCTTTCTTTTGAACATTTCTGGTTTATAAGGTGCATAATAGAGTTGTGCACAAGGAGCTGCCTTGATTCTAGGAAAATTAATAATTTAAATTGCTTTTGGCATACTTATTTAGAAAATAAAAATTTATTATATTTTGAATAATGAGGAAAAAATAAAGTAATATGCATAGTTTAAAGAGGTATGTGTTGCTCTCAATTTGCACTACAATACACACTGGTCTTATAAAATTATTGTATATTTATATTTATCAAGATACCTTTTCTTTTTGTAAATTTATACTTTTTACTATTATATTGTGTCTTTTTTATATTTGTAGTCTCTTTTCATATATATATATATATATATATATATATATATATATATGTGTGTGTGTGTGTGTGTGTGTTTAATCAAAAATTATTTTGTCAAAATAAAAGTTTATTTAAAAAATAATCTTAATAAAAGTAAATTATAAAATAAAATAATTGAATAAAAAATAAACAGTCACAAAACCTTTACCGAAAGTAAATGTGTATAACAAGAAAATTATAATTTTTCATTGGAAATAAAAAATTATTTAACAGGTAAATTATAACAACTCATATATAACAAACTCATATTCATATTGTAATAAAAATATATAACAGGACATAATCATATTATAATCATATTCTTACTAATTGAGAAGAAACAAAAAGATAAAAAAATAAAATATGATGTGTGACATCCTAAATCTATAGTTTAATTTCTTTTTGTTAGGTCCTTTGACCCTGTTTAATATCAAAAAAAATAAAAATAAAAAATGACAACAGGGCATAATCATATTCATTCTAATTGAGAAAAAATAAAATGATAATAAAATAAGAAACGAAACTATAGTAAAATAGCGTAGATGCACAAAAAAAAACTAAATGTAACAGCCCGACAACTTATTTGGGACTGACGACTGTCCTCACAAACTAACACGAGACTTTTTAGTATACTTTGTCCTCACTCGCACAGTTCACGGGAAGTTCCCAGAAGGTCATTCATCCCATAATTGCTCCAAGTGATAGGCAACCGAAAAGTAAATACATTTTGTTGGTATAGGTAGTCCTAATCAATTCCTTTAAGCTATCCTTAACTGTATAAATAGTCTCTGGATCCCCCTCTCATTCTGATGTAAGTTTAATTCATTCATGTGTCCCTTACCACCGGAAACATGTCAGGTAGTCGCTCATTGTCCATGCCACATTGCATCGGCGATCACTCTCCGCCCTCGCCTAGTGCCTATCCTTAACTATATACACAATCTCTAGATCCTCATCTCATTCTGATGTAAGTTCAATTCATCATGTGTCCCTTACCACCGGAAACCTGCCAGGTAGTCGCTCTTTGTCCATGCCACATTGCATCGGCGATCACTCTTCGCCCTCGCCTAGTACCTGGGTGTCACATGCCCACCAGCTTCCGCGTGGTTCGTCCTTGACCCACACTGTACTAGGAGAGAGGTCTGCTCTGATACCATTATTATAATGTCCTTATTTCAAATTCAGTATATATAAATAATTTTCCATTTCAATTCATTTTCAATATGAAATTCAGATACCATAAAATTTTCCCAAAAGTAATTACTACAATTTAATCAAATATTTCCATTTAAATTAATAGAATAGTGCAATAGCATAAAACTTCTGAAACAACCATAATCAAAAGTAAAGAAAAAGGCTATACATAAACTTCAGAATACAATATATTAATTTATAAACTGTATGTTTGAGTATTTAAAGATCAAAATAATAATTACAACACCAAATACTACCAAAAAAAAAATCCTAGAGCAGCCTTAGTTATACTCATCTCTAGCATTCCAACTCTCTATCTCGGTTAGATCCTCAAAGTCTAGGTCGTCATTAGATCCCAAATACCCATCGCTAGAGTCAACTCTGACCTTTGTCCCCTTAACACGCTCAAAGGTCCAACGGGTAGGTCTTCCTAGAGAGTCGTGGTCATGGTAGGTGTATAAGTAAGTAAGGGCTGCTGGGGTTCTAACTGTACCCCTATACATATATACACATAAGGTTTGGTGTATCATACTCCTAGGGAAGTCAAATGGAATACTACAAGCAAAATCCATCTCTATCATGACATAAACCCTAGAGTCATTCTTTACCAATACAGCAAATTTAAAATGATTTACACGCTGGTATTCATTAAATACGTAATTTAATCTAAAGTGTACAGAACTATCTACCAGCCTAACTCTTCCCTGCAGATTCGTCATCTTAGTTCCCTGAAATTATCAGTAAGGATGAACATCTATCTTATCATTTAAAACATAATATTACTTTAAAGACTAACATAACAACACAATCATGGTCATGGAATACAAGGAATCATAATAACATAAATCTCAGAGTAATATATTAGACATATACATATTCATTATTATTATGTTGCTCTCTTTTGGATATGCACATTCAGTGCACTGTGATCACAATTATACGATACCTCCAGTAGTTCTTAAGGTCTTACACAACTAGGTAAATAGTCGTCGGTTAGCCCATGCATACGGATACAACGTATACCATAACGGGCCCCTTAGCAAAGGTATAGTCAGGCCATATGGCCCATCCACTCTCAGAAAGAATGTGTACACATGCGCGAATGTTGCTCATCACTCTACATTTCCTCCAGATTTCCTATCGTCTCCGGACTCCATACCCCTAGTGTATCTCTTTAACTATTCACACTAGAACCATTCAATTTCTTACACTTATCTCATACTCCCTTTCGTACTAAACTCGTTATTCAAGTAAGATATCGTGCTTAGTAAAGCACTTCCGAACTAAATTCCAAACAAACGGACTACTCGAACATATCATTAACACCCAAAATCAGACAAACTTATTTTTTATAATAATTCAATGTCAATCAATCATAAGAATCATATTAAAACACATACATAAAGTACTCTCATGGTTACAAAATAATTATTATGCTTAAAATAATAAAATAAAGCCCTCCTTACCTTGAGACGAAGTTGAGAAAGAGATTTTGTGAAAGGGTTTTAGAAGAAAGGACCAAGATCTTCCTAGATATCACAAAATAGCATTTTGAGAAAGGAAAAACTTAGATAACACCCAAAAAGAGAAAACAAAGCTCCAAGAACTTACTTGGAGTTGATTGATGAAGTTCCTAAGCTTGGATTTGAAATAAAGTTGAGGTTTTGGAGAGATTTTCTGAGAAGAGAGGGTTAGAGGTCGAGAGAACAAGGGAGAGCTCGAAACTTGGATTGTAATCCAAGTTTTCTAACTTGAAAACCCTAAAATACCCCTAGAC